GTGAATATTCATCTGCAGGGCTGTGTTCTGGGGTTTTTCAGGCATAGGGAAATTGCTGTGCATTTTCTCAGATACTGTACTGGTCTTGCCTAATGCTGTGTAAGAGAGAAATAGTGTATCATCTCAGTCTGGATGCTGGAGCCCTTCTGGGACTCTGATGCTCTCTCTTGGGTTTAGCAGCTTAGGAAAAACTCCAATGCATTTGCAACGCTTTCTTTAAATGTTTGTAGTTTGAAAAAGTTTGTATATATGTAACGTAAATTATTTGGAAATCAGACCTACCTTTCTACTGCAGTGTGTTTTGGTTGGTTACTGGAATGGTTGGAGGCATCTGGCTGTCTGGAGAGCTAGACATGGAGAATGTGTTGAGTTGGTACCCACAAGTGGAAGGATGAGGTGGCTGTTTTGTGCAGTCTGAGAATCCTTGCTTTGATGGCTATGCAAAGTTAGGATTTATTAATAAGAATCACTCTACCTTGGGGCTCTGTTTAGTCCCTGTGACTGATCACAAACCTTTTCCAGCACCTCATCATTTAAGCTTGCACAAAAGCTACTCTGTGCTTGTGTTGGGGGGGCGGCATTTAGGCTCAGGGCTTTCTGACACTCTTCCAGCAGATATCTGAATGTGGGCTTTGACACTTCCAATCTCCTCAGGCTGGAGACTCAGGCCACAGCTCAGCTTCTCGTCCAAGGCGGGTGGCTGGCAGAGGGAACAGCTCAGGGACTCAGCTGAGTGTGCAGAGGCAGAACTGAGCCTCACAGGTGAGGGGGAGTTGTCAAATGCCAGCTGGCAGCAGGGCTTCAGCAGATCATCCTCAAAAAGAAATACATGTCTTGATCTTTCCCTACCTGTGCCTACAGGTCATTACTTTAGATCATTGCTGTTTTGGCAGTTTGCAGAAAGGTGCCTTTCTGGTAGGAAGCTGTTGTGTGCATCTTGTGGATTATCCTGCCAGGACATTGAAAGTTTGCAAAGTTGAGGCTAAGTTTAAGCACAGGGAAGAGAAGAGGGAAGTTACATGGCTGAACCCTGCTGTGAATGAATGGTAACTCCTTCCACAGTTTCAATAACCTGCTTTGGACTGCTTGCCTTTTTGTGCCTGCTAAAGAATCATGCTCAAAATGTTCTCGTCTCTAGAGCTCCTTCAGGTGCACTCCGGATCAGTCTCCGATTCCTCTGCTATCTCCTCTTTGTGTGGAGTTGATTATGTTTTAATAGATTTGTCAATCTTTATGTTGCCTGATTTCTGAGATAAATACAAGATAGGTGCTCTTTGTGCATCTGGTTTGAAGTTTGCATCCTAAAACAGGGAAGTTCTGAGGAAAAAAAAGGCACTGAGGTATCCTCTTTGTATTCTCAAAAGCCATTAATTTGGTGACAGTCAAGCAGATTCTCTTGCTCTTGCATATGTTTGTAGCCTGATAATAATGACACAGCTGTGGCTCTTGTCTCTGTTAGCTCTACTGTCCTTTTTCTCTCTGCTCTGTTATAATCTATTGGTCCTCCTGTAGATCCCTTCTTCAGCGACCAACCTTCTATAAAGCTGCTTTGGCTTGATTCAGGACCAAGCCTTTGAAATCTTTCATATTTTTTCTTTGTTGTCTGTTAGAGTGGGGATGGTTGGGATATTTTTTACTACTTGGTAGTGAAAGGGCTCAGGGCTCAGTGTGTCCTTAGGTTTTTGAGAGGTGCACGTTGGCAACCACTGGTTCAAACACAGGTTAGTTACAGAACTCCAAATAATGCCTTAACTTGGTCAACGTATTGCAGCTCAGCTTCAGGGCCTCGCTAGATAGCAAGACCAGCCTCGCAAAACTAGCTATCAGTAATATTGTGAGACCCACACCAAAATGTGGTTTTAATTTGGAAAGAGGATGCAGTGATTTTGCAAAGCAATCCATTTGAGTTTGTTGAGTGCAGCTGACTACTGGTCAATATGCAATAAAAAGCTCCACTTCTCAGAGTCTGGCCAAAGACTTGTCCTGGTGGCACAGAAACTGAAAGAAGAGCTGGTGCCTGTCAGCTGAGCCTGGGTGAGCAGCTGGCTCTAGGTGTGCCTGTTCTGACTAAGGAATGGCATAAGACAACCTGGAATTGCTGCGTTTTTCAGGCACAGATTAGTTCCCAGTGTCTGCCTTGGTCTGCAGCGCTGCACGTGGCTCCTCTGGGATGCTATCAGGTTGTTACCTGAACTCCCTTGAGAAGCAGACTGTGGCAGCCTGTATTAGAGGCTGCTGACTGTTTCTTTTAAAAAAATTAAATGTATCTTCCTGCTATGGCAGCACTGTGTTTTGTCACCAAGAGTACAGAAGCTTAGTTTTCTGGAGAAGCGGTTAATATTGGAGACAAGAGAGCATGAGCAGTTACAGCTGATAGCTACCTGCTGCTGGATCACTCCTCTGCATAAGAAGGAGAAGGGCTTAGGCCTTGGGTGACTCTGGGATCTACTAAAATACCCGATTTACCTTGGCAAATCTGAAAAGGCTTTTTTCTTTTTCCTTTTTTTGTAGCAATTAAAAAACCCTAACCTAGACAGCTATGTGTAAGTTGGAACTGTTGAAAAAGTCAAAGGAAATAGGTGGATCTGGTTCTTCAGCGATCAGAGAGAAGAGCTGCCGTAGCTTTTTGACTTTTTCCACAGCTGCAACATGACCCACTAGGATGGCCTATGATTTTTCCCAGATGCAGCTGTGGAGCAACCCATGCAGGTTTTGAGACCTTTGGAAGCCAGTTGCTCAACCACATGATGCTGCATGTTTCGGGAGCGCCTAGGCAGCCTTCTCCTTAGTTCTGCTGTTTCAGCTTGGAGCTTCCAGTGTTGCTTACAGTTGGCAGTGGCTGGCGTTTCTTTCCCGGGGCTGTTGTAGTACATTGCTGGTGTGGAAGGAAGAGCATCATCGGGGATTTGTTACCCCCTGGCAGGCAGTGGAGGAGCAGAATAGCCAGCAAGCATCCCATCTGGTACAAGAAACTGAGACATGGTGGAAATTGCCACTTTTCTTTCCAGTTGGTTGCGGGCCCTGGAGAACTCCCCGACTGTGGGCGAGTTGTCCCATGGCTGGTTGCAGGCACCTGCATCCTTCAGTCGAAGGCTGTGCTCACTGCTGGGGTTGTGCCACGGGCTGTTGGCTGTCGCTGCTGTCCCCAGGACCTCTGATTTCTATCCTTTCAATGTGATCTTTGGAAAATGCTGCCGTTGTGATGAGGTGACGAGCTGTACAGAGCAGGTTTTCTGCTGCTTTGTTTTCCTCTGGCACAGCAGAGCTGCTGGAGCTGTGGGTGCCTGAGGAATTCACCTCCAAGCGCTTAAAAAAACCCCATACTTGCTTTGAAAACAATGCTACTGAAGTGTCTCCTTACATGCTGGGGTGCTGCATTAAACGTCTCTTCCTCACCCACACCCGCTGTCATACGCTGAGAGCACTTGGGCGAGGGGCACAGACGTGGGAGCAGCTTTAGCTGCGGGGGCAAGTGGGCTTCACACTCACCTGCGCCCCAGGGAGAGCTTGTTCCTTTTTGCTTTGTGTACTGGAAACATGAGAGCTATATTTTTTTGGACAAAGCATTTCTAAGCAGTCTTACAAGGGATTATTATTTTTCTTTAAAAGGTGCAAGGTTGAATGCATGTTTACTTGCCCCAGATCAAAGGTTTTTTAACACTAAGGTCACTATCTGCTGAATGGACCCTCCTCTTGGCACTCTTCTGTCTTCAGGCAATTGAAGTTCCTGCCCTCTACCAGTTTTACTGTAACTACTTTTTTTTTTTTTCCAGGAGAAATATATATACAAAAATTCTAAGCAATTAAATGTTCAAGCCATAGAATCATGAATGTGGGAAGACCCTCTTCACAAGTTTTAACATATTTGTATGTAAAATGATGTTTGTATGAAATATTTTCATGGTAGAATGAATATTTAAAAAAAAAAAAGTTCCAGTAAGATCTAAACCAAATTTAAAAGGATGTCTTTTTGTAAGATGCAAGTGTAATTGATTACCAATAAGTAATATTATTTTTTTAAAGGGGAGATGCAACAAGTGGTCTTTACAAATGGTCATTTCTGCTATTTGGGAAAGTATTTATGCAGCATTACATAGAGCTGTCATAAATAATTGCGATAGCAAGGCCAGTCACATCTGCAGGACATACCTCTCAGCTTGTCCCTCCGTGACAAATGGACCCATCCCTCCTTTCTGCAGATTTTCTCCTAGAAAACCTTTCCTACTGTAACTGCTGAATTTAACTCTTAAGCTAAGATCCAGGCTAAAATTGTGTATTACTTAACAGTTTCTGCTGGGCCTTCTGCTGTTTTAATACTCTTTAGCCCATAATTACTGGGTGTCTCTGTTCTGAAGAACTAAGTGCTACAGAATAATCCTTGGGGTAAGCTTGTACGTGTGTTAACAGTTAACCCCGGAGTATTTAACTTGTATACAGTACTTGATAGGTGTTTTATGACATTTGTACTCGAACTATGAGCCTTACTGAACATCTGTAGGTTTATTCATGACTTTTAAAAAATGGATAACTCTAAGAAAGATGTTTACATGAATGATGATTGCCCTTCCTTTGATGTTATGAATGAGGTTTTTATAGTGTGTTTGGGTGTATGTGCAAGGAAGCAAGAAAAATGTTTATGGGAAAAAATAGACTTGACAAACATTTGTAATAAGTGAATTTTAAAGATTGCTTTAATTGCGCTATGAAGGCAATGCAGATATTAAAATATTCAACAGATCTGCCCTGTCTCCTTTTTACTTTTGGGTCCTGGGTTTGGGCATCCTCTGAGCTCTCCCCCTGTGTGCTGTGTGGTTTGTTGCTGATGCAGGGGGCAGGTCGGGCAGCAGGGAACACTCCCAGGCTCAGGATCCTGATGGGAGCCAGCAGCAGGACACTCCCAGGCTCAGGATCCTGATGGGAACCAGCAGCAGGACACTCCCAGGCTGTGTTTCAGACGGGCGTGTTTCTCCCTGGCCGCGGCTCTGGGGCAGCAGCCGGGCATGGCAGCCGGCACCATCCTCTGCCCGCTCCGGGGTGGTTTAAAGATAGCGAACCTATTCATTGATGCCCTTACAAACGCCGACAGGGCAGGTGAGCTTCCTGCATGGCTTGTTGCGGCGGGGTTGGCTGGAGGCCTTGGGCCGGGCTGCGGTGTCCGAGCTGCCCGTCTGAGAGCCCAGAGGGCCCTGGGGCCGCTCCTGGAGACTCCGCCAGCCTTTGGGTTCTTTTTGCACGCACTCGGAACTTTGCCCTGGAGGCGGAGCTGGGGCCGAAGCTTCCACTGGGCCTGCTCGGAGGAGCTGGGAACGGGAGCTCCCACCGGTGGTACCGGGAGTTGGTACCGGATCAGCTGGCGAGGTGCGGAGTTTGTCTTCTCCAAGCAGGAGAGCCCGGGCGAGCCCTCGCACCTTGCTGGGCAGCAGGAGCCGCGGAGGAGATGGAGCAGGGATGGGGGCTGCAGGGAAGATGGCACATCTTTATCCAGAAGCATCAGAAAAGGTGTCCTGAGCACCTGCCTGGCAGCAGTGTGAGGGGTTTCCCCAAAAACCGCTCCCTGTGCCCACCGTGGCGCCCGTCAGGAGGAGGATGCTCCTGCAGAGCCTGGCCCTGCCGTAGGACGGGCCCTTCTGCACCGCACGGGCTCCCTGAGGCTCTTCTCCCTGCTCCCTCCCAACCAGGACCCGCTGTCCTTCCCTCCCCTGAAGCCCCACGGAGCCGCTTCCTGGTCCCTGCCTGCGAGGACGGACGCCTGGGTCAAAGCAGGATGTTTCGCTGCTGGTGCTTCATCTTCAGCCAGAGGAATACGGTCGTGCTGGGCTCCAGGTCGCCCTCAGCACAGTGTGCGTTGCCAGCGGGTTCACGGGTGGCATTTTCAGGATGGAGTCTCAGCTGGGCAAAACCAGAGCTCCCATGTGGGCAGGGATGGTAAAGTTGCACTGTATTTTCTGTGCTTTGGTGTTTGCTTCACTGCCACCTACTAGAACTCAACCTGGGGGAAAGGAGGGAGCCCAGGACTTCTTGCCAGCTCCTTCCTGGTTTCCTGCTTTGAACATGGATAATGAAAGTTTCCTTATTGTGGTGTAGGCAGGAGAGTGTGGACAGAGTGCAAGGAGGGTTCCCTCTGAAGGAGCTAAATCATATACATTTCTACTGAGTTATTTAGACAGAGGGGCACAGTGGCAGTTGACAGGGTTTTTGCAGAAGCAGAGAGATGCCACTGAAGATTAGGAAGGGAACACTTCATCCTCACATCAGGTAGATGAAGATCTGGGTGATGATCTGTGTGCCACATCACAGTGCCACTAATGCTCCGTCCTCGAGGAGCAGGCAGCAGGCATCCTGGCTCCCTGGCCTTCAGTACCCTTGTGTCACTGTTGGGACTCTGGTGAGCTCTGCTGGAAGGGAGTTGTCCTGAACCATTCTCTTCCATCCAGAGGCTGCCTTTCTCCTTTCAGTCATATCTTTCTGCTGTCTACAAGATGCATGAGGACTTGGGAAAGCAGCGCACATTTTTAGCACTTTAAGAAGACTTATTTAATCAGTTTATTTTTTGGCCAGAGCTGCAAAGCCAGTCAGAGGGGTTGCTGCCACGGGGGTAGCAACTGGGCAAAGATGCATTTCACACAGGGTCCTTCCGCCAGGAGGTGCTGCAGAGGAAAACAGGAGAAATAAACAATTCTCTTTCCATTTCTGACCTAAGTTACTCTGATCCAAGCCTTAAAAATGAGACCCTTTCAGCTGCTGTGTAATAGTTTAATCTTCCAAATCTGATACTTGTCTCCCAGTTACCAACTCTCTTTGTACTCTGCAGGTGATGGGAGTCCCAGGCGTCCTGGCTTCGTTTTCCTCACACAGGAAGAATCCAGTTCTGGTAAGCCTGGAGCGGGGGGGATTGGGTGTGTTTGGGGTGGGAGAAAAATGTTGTTAGGGCCACCAAAAACAGTTTTTGGTAGGGAATGAGCTGGCTGGTCCTTCTGGAGGATCAAGAGCTTATTTCCTTGAGTTATCTTCATAAGAGCTGTTACATTCCTAAGCAAAAGCAGGATGCAGCATCACCTTGCTTTCTGCTGCAGCAGACGAGTGCTGGCTCTAATAATAAGCAAAAACCTGTAAAAACGACTTTTGAACATATTTCTTTTCACAGTCCTTCCTGTTACTAAGAATTGTGTAAGTTAAAATAGGAAACAACATAATTGACTTGTATTTCCTAGGCAGGTCTCTCCAGCCATGTCAACTCCAAGGAAGGTATATTGTGTAGAAGAAAGAGATCTCCAAAAACAAATCATCTGTGTCCAGTAGTTAAGACTTGGGGCTCAGCTGTAACTCAGAAATTCAGTACCCTGGAAAAATTTTCTGCACTGTGTTTGGCTTCCAAGTGACTGCTGCTACTGGGTACCTCATAGTATTACAGAAGGTCAAAAGCTAGTACCTACAGTGCTTGTTAGTACATTTTGTCTGTATTAGTTGCATGGATTTGTCAGAGGGTAGTTTTAATTCCTGCTCCCGTTCTTTTTCTCCTTTAATTTCTCTGTCTAGGTGAATGTGCTGATAGTTGCTTCTCTGCTCTCTTGTGTTGCCATCCTCATTTTAATATAGTTCCCTCACACTGAACTATGGTGAAGAGGAGGAGCTGCGCTCTGCCCCAGTCTGTGTATTCCATACAGTAAGTATCAATATTATGCTTATTACTGGGGAACAACACTGTTTTACTCTGGAAACACTACTAGACATGACTTGAAAAAACCAGAACCAGAATTCCAGGGTGCCTGAGTTAGAGCATGAAGTAGTGCCTGCAGCAGGGCACTTGTTTAAAATAATCTGGGTAAGTCTATTTTTAAGTATCAGGTTAGGTACTAAAAATCATGCAGGGCTAGGTAGACATTTTCTAGGTAGCTCCTGCAGCAGCATGGCTGGTATTGGTGGCTATGTGAACTAAAGCCCAGCACATAAACACACTGCAGTCAGGTTACCAGCTGCTGCTGCTGCCAAGTGCAAAAAGGTTTGGCTTGTGGCAGGAAAAAGTCACAGTGCTGCTCAAGGAGAGGGGTAGGTGCTGGCTGTATCCCTGGCCTGGTTTGAGACAGAAGTTGCTAGGCTTGAATCCTTTCCAGCATGCACCTCAGGTAGTAAAGTGACAGCAGTTACAGGCCAGCTGATTTAAACAGTGTTATTTCAAGGGTGTCCTGCACAGTAAAAATTGAAAGATAGAATGAGCTCAATTGTACCTCAAACCTGGTACAAGCAGTGGCTCTCTGTTGGGAAGAAGACATTCCAGGTAGATGAAGCTGTTCATTAGTTTATTGCAGAACAAACTGAAGTGTCAGGCTGCCCAGGTGCAGTATATATAGCAAGAAGGCATTTCTCATGCTCAGTGTGAAGAGGCGCAGCCATTCCTTGGGTTTCTACTTATTGTTAAAGCTGGTTCCAAACCTGATGCCATCGCAGAGCATTTCCTGTTTCAGCAGCAGCCTTCTTTTCCTGCTTGCCCTTTTCCTACTGGAGATTCACACTTGGTTGTGTTCTTCAGAGCACAGGAAGAAAAGCTTTCAATAACAGTGACTCAGAACCAATCTCCTGTGATGCAATCGCTGTGTTCTCACAGTCGTTAGAATAGGTTTTGATTAAGAGCTTCACTTGTTGAATATGGCTTTAACATTCATTTTTCTTCTTGCAGAAGTTTGTACTTAATGAAGTAGTCAAGGGTGCTAACATAGCCATGCTAGCTGCATCCATCAGCAGCACGTTTGCTGTGCTGGTGATGGCTTCCCTGGGGTGTGGAGCCTTCCGTGCTGTCCCTGCTATGACAGCATCACTGGGATGGTGAGTGAGGAGCCCAGGACACCCATTTATCTGTTGGGAGTGTGGGTGGGATGGGGAGAAACTGGGGAGAAAGACGTGTTTTTCTTCTATAAACCTACCCTCAGCTCTACCTCAGTCATCCAGGGCTAAGTCAAAGAAATTCAGAGGATGTTAGAAGGACTTTATACTTTTTGTAGTTTTCTTTTTACTACCCCCCTCTTATTTACAGTCTTGTGTAAGACCTAGTGTAAGTTATCTCCATTTTCCAAATTATTAGTGCTTAACTATTGTGGTCCCATCTCCTATGAATTCCTGCTCTCCTCAAGAACAGCTCCTTCTCCTCTCACCCTTGAAACAATTGCTTCTGGTACAGCACATCAAAGACTTACTGGTACTTACACACCAAGATGCCTTATCCCTAGAACTACAGATTCAATAATAAAAATATCCCCTATACTGCATGTGAAGTGGGGAGCACATTTTACTGGTAGTTTATGAGGATTCTGTCTCAAGTGATGGGGAACACACTGCATGTCTCTGCTAAGTGAGCTCACTGAATACCAGCTTCTTCTCTAGTAGAGTGATTCTGATGATGTATTAATGCACATACATCTGACCATCTCATTTGGTAGGGAATTAACAGGTACAGGTTACAAGGCAGCTGCTTTTGCCTAAAGGTACCACATGTGTAATGTGAGGCTGCTTTAAACTTCCAAAATAAAACTTGTTAGGAAGAGTGGACCACACAGGCCTTTTAACTGAGTTGAATTATATCTGAACAAACTCATGATGAGGTTTTTTATGCCATTGTTTCATTTGTAGGAATGGTTGCATCCTAGTGAGGACCAAAGTCAGGCTGTGGAAATGGTTTGTGCTGTACAAAGTAAGTAACTCTTTCCCTCTCTGTATTTGGATATTCACCAAGGACATAGAAAGCATCCTGAACAAGCTTTACATCCCAGGCCAAAATCCTGATGACCAAAATCCTCTGAGCCAAAAGGAACTCAGGATTTTGTGCAAGTGTCTGCACCAGGGTTAATGGTTTCCTCTTTCCTTCCCCACACAGGTCTTGGAGGCAAAAGTTTTAACTTCCCAGATCGGTTTCCATCCCAGGACTTGGATGCAGAGGAAGACTCATCCAAACCCTCACCGTATATCAGGATGGCTTGAGAAAGCAGTGGAACATTATAAAGCTACTAGTCTAAAAATATGGCTAGACAGAGGTAAGAAGTTCTTTGTCTTTGAAGATGGTTAAGCACTTTTCCTTGGCCTTTTGAAAAACACACACAGAAAGAGAGATCTGTTGAATGCCCAACGTTCAGCAGAGATAGTGCCAAGGAAAACATCTGCAGACTCTTTTGGACATTCCGACTTTGTATAGTGAAAATACCTCATTGCCTCTGGAAAGTGTGAGCATTTTTTCCTCCAGCTTTTGTACTAAAATAAGGTTTTATTCCACTAGAATTCATCATGCAGTTTATCTACCAGTGCTAGTCTTAAACATTCAAATATTAAATATCATTAATTTTTAAAATAAACTGGTTGTGGAGTATTGCCACCTGCTATCTCGATTTCTTCCCCTCACCCATTGAATTATCTGGATGATATATGATAATGGGTGAAGGATAATGAGGGACACACTTCATTACTGAGCTGCAGGGTGCTTTCCCCTTTCCTCTTGGGAGGGAAGTGGGCAGGTGAAGTTTGTGATACCAAGCTTTGCTACTGCCATTCAGGTAAGATTCTGTGGGGTATTCACGAGTAGGTGCAGTAAGTTTTAGTGCTGCAGTGTAATTCTGGAGTGTGGTAGTAACTTAATTACAGAACTAGACCAAGACCCTCCATTGTAGATTCTCTAGAGGACCTCTTGGTCCTCTCAAGCAAGGAACTACAGCTTCCAGTCATCAACTCCTGAGGTACATAAAAACTCCCACATGTACTTTATGATTCACTTTCAGGTAGACTTAGAGGTGTCTGTTGAGTGATTATCTCACCTGCAGGCCTTAAGCATGAAGTGGGAGATTGTTTATCCCACGATGAAGTTTAATACAGCATGTTCATATAACTGGGCTTGGAAAGTAAGTTCCCATCTTGAGAAAGTGCTATGGGTAGTAGGGTGAGCCATGCCCCACATGAGACGTAACACCAGGAGTGATCTCAGATAAAATTTATCTTACTGCAGCATATAAGGTACCTTTCCCATTCTCAAGAGGAAATTAAATTGTTCTTGATAGTTTTTTTCCTAGAGACTGAAGTATTTTTCATAACACTAGTAAAGGGACTGTGACACCTAAATGAAGACCATCAGTGGATGAAAGCATTGTGCAAATGGCAGGCAGTCCTCTGAGCCTGTGCTTACATTAGAAGAAACTAAGACTCCCTGAGAGGTTACTATGATTGCTAATACCTAAAAGCAGTGTAACTTCTTTAGTCTAAAACAGGTTTTTGCCTTTGAAAGGAAATACTTGCTAGTAGTTTGTAACTAAAACACACTGGTCAGCTACTGCATTGTTTCTGGGTAGAATAGAATCATAGAATCATAGGGGTGGGAAGGGACTTCTGAAGATCAAGTCCAATCTTCCTACTGCAGCAGGAACACCCAGGGAGATCACACAGGAATGTGTCCAGATCGATCTTGAAAGTCTCCAGAGAAGGAGACTCCACAACCTCTCTGGGCAACCTGTTCCAGTGCTCTGTCACTCTCACAGTAAAGATGTTTTTCCCCATGTTGAGGTGAAACTTCCTGTGTTGTTACTTGGTGCTGTTGCTCCTTGTCCTATCACAGGGCACCTGTCAAACCAGCACAGCACCGCTGGAAAGAGATTGGCCCATTCTTGACATCCACCCTTCAGATATATATAGACATTAATAAGGTCCCCTCTTAGTCTTCTTTTCTCAAGACAAAACAGCCCCAGGTCTCTCAGCCTGGTCCCATGCAGAAATACTGTTCTGGCCATTACAGTGCGGGACAGGCTGAGTGTAACTGCACAGCCTTTAAGTGCTGGTTGAACAGAGTGATTAGCAAGTTATTCCTTTGGCCTTAGCAGCACATATTGGTGTATGAGTGTGTAGAAGAGAAGTTTGCTCTACGCTACTTCTAAATAAAAATGCATGTAGTTGAGTCAGCAGCAGCTACAAAACCCCTTGATGTCCACCTTTCTTTTTTGCAGTCCTTCCAGTGGTGCAGTCGCAGCCTCATTACCACAGTGCCAGACCCTAGGATCACTTGTAGACACACAGTTTGCACGGTTCTTTCCACAAAAGGGGAGTTTCTGGAAAAGAAATAGCTGCAGTATGGAAATTGGTAGAAACTGAATACCATTTTAATGTCACTCCCTCTAATTGGTTAGCATTGAGGAAAATATATTCTGGATTGCAGCTTCCAGTGCTATATTTAGTAGCCCTCTCCACATACTAGTTATGGTGCCTTCCCAGAGTCTGCCTTTATCCCCAGGGACATTCCATGGTTTGTGTCACCCCCAGCTTTTCCTGGTGGCAGTCAGGTGGATTTTTATTTATTATGCAAACACACACCCGTAGCACCTCCAGTAGAAATGGCCTCATCGTTTGTTCCCCATGGACTTTTCCTCGTTGGCAAGATTCTCAGAAACGGAGCCAACTTCCCCATTCCTCACCAGCACTGCAAGATTCCCCTTTTGGGACAGGCAAAGGCCCGTGCCTGCTGGGGGGAGGTACAGTCACAGATGACAGGGTGGCTGTCGGTGTCAGGGTGCACCTCAGCACAGCACCTGCAAGATAATGCAAGCAAAGCCCGGGGTGGGGGGGGGAGGAAAAAAGAAATTCCAGATTCTACTCGAGTCCAGAGCTTGTTCTGCACCAAAACACCCTGCACAATGGGAGCTGCACCTCTGTCACACACACCTTACCCTGCAGTGCTAAGAAATGGAAATAAATTGGCATTTTGAAGAGGAATGATAGATGCAAACATGGCTCAGCTCTCCTTGAGGCCAAACATCCAGTCCTTGTCTTGGCTGAGTTAGAAACTGCTGATCTCAGCTGAGCAGCCTGCAGGCATGACCCCAGCTCCTTGCTTCTGACACGAGCTATAGACCCCAGTTCTATGGTCCTGCAGAGCAAAATTACATGGACACCAAGCACTTGCTGATCTGCTTGTGTTAGCACCATTCATGTGATGTCAAAGACAAGGCGTTTACATCCAAAGACATTTTTCCATCTTGAGCAAGCTTAGCCTGACATACAGAACAAGATGTACCACATCCCTGGGCTATGGAAATGAAGGCTGCCAGCCTCTCCATTAGCCATGGCCAGACTTAATCACAGGGCATAATCAGACAGTTAATCAGGGAAATCAGTTCTGTGAATTAATTTTCAACTAAGAACAAAGTATTACTGAAGATGTTTCCCCCCCAGAAAGGGCTAGAAGGTGCTGGGGGAGCAGGGGAAGAGGAGGGGTCTTTATCACAGTGAGGATCAGAGAACCTTTTCAGGTGCATTTTTGACAACTAGTTTGCTCAGGATTTTATTTTTTTTTAATTGCAATTTCACTTGCAGTCTTGTAATCCAGCACTGATACTGTGCTCTCTGACAGGAACATTTTGCTCTTTTCCTCACTGAATAGTTTCAGACTGATGTGGTGTGCAGCAGATACTGTTTGCTACCAACATAGCAAAGTAGGTTTAGTCTCACTGCTCCTCACCCCTAGGTCTGGTTGGTGCAGCTCCCCCACCCCTATGTTACTGGGTTGCTGCAGGGTTAGGGCAGTGAGAAGCCAGGGGAGAGAATAAATATAAAATAATCACAGCTCTGCATGCTCCATAGCCCTGTCTGTTCCAGCATGATGGACTTAAAAAATGAAGTCGAACTTTACTGTAGGTAGATGAACAGGCCTAAAAGATCTCATGTGGGGAATGGCTCCAGGAATACATAGGTCTTGCTCATTAAGGAAAAGATATGTCATTTACTACACAAGGGTACTAATTTATAGCAGAAAGAATTACCTGGCTTGGTAAGTCAAGAGTTTCTCCCCAAAGCCTTTGCTTGGTCTTGGTGGCTGTGGCACAGCAGCTTCTTGCATCAGCCTCCCTGGCTCCTTTCTTGTCATCCAGCAACCTGCAGCATCTCCACTGGCTGCTGGGTAAGAGCAGGCTGCAGAAGGGCCTTAAAAGAGCTGGGAAAGGCTGGGAGAAGTCACAATCAATTAAAACAGATAAGTTCTGAAAACAAACAGGTGTATTACCCTGCAGCTGAAAGGAGGAAGGGCTTTTTTCTTTGTTTTTCACAGTCAACAGAAAACCCACCTAATATAACCAGAGCTCTGCATGCACATGTGGAGTCAGGCTGTGTGATTTCTTGATCCTGACAGGTCCCTTCCTACCTGAGATATGATTTATTGACTCTCCAGCACTAGCAGTGTGTAAGCATGGGAAAATATCCTTTGACTTAATTCTAACTTGAGGAGGGAAAACCCATTAAAGCAAACAGAATTTTTCATCCTTCCCCAGCAGCTTTTTTATAAAGTTGGCAACTGCTGTGTGCTGTACCTCCTGAGGTAAGTTTAACTGAAACACCATAAAATCACATCGTTTCACTTGTACTCAGCTGCTGCAATAGGTTTTCTTTGGTTGGTTGGGTTTGTTTTTTGTTTGTTTTCGTGTGTTTGTTTGGGGTTTTTTTATATTTAAAGCTTCTGTGCTACCAGAAAGAACTGCATTTTCTTGACATGACAGTTATATGTTGTCTTAATTTAAAAAAAAAAACAACAAAGCACAATTGCTTTGGTTTATATTTCATTTTTCATCTTCTGATTTCTGATCACTATGTTTTAAAATACACTCAGCATGTTTTGTTTTTAATTGGTACATTAGTTGCTGTAAATGTAGTGGTTATACTGAAATCGTACATGCAAATATTGTTAAGCCCCCACCCACTTACCATGAGGCTGATTTAGGATTAGGGCTGGTGTCATTTGCCAAATTCTTTGCCCTAGCCTGATCTCACAGGGGTTGCTTCTGTCTCTCTTATTTTGCCCTGTGCAGGCAGCTGAGCAGCCCTCTCTGACTCAAGTCTTTGCTACATGGACCAGCCCTTCACCCATCAAACCCATGAGCTGGAGCCTTAAAGCAGGTGCTGGTGCTGGGCTCCCACAAGTGTCATCTACCACACAACAAAAAGCTGTAATTCTGTACAAC